CATGGACCCCGGTAAAATGATAAGGAGAGTCATTTATATACCAGTGGTATACCAAGGTTATCAACTTTTCCTTCGACCCAAACCCAATATTTTTTTTAGGTTGGGACAACCTGTTTGGACTTCTTTTTTAAATTTAATCTTGTCAATAAATTTTCTATATAGAATTTTATTATATTTAATTAGGAAATGACTCCTTAGGGGGGAAATCTTACCATTATCCATACTTCCTGCAATCTACAATAATTAATTAATTAATTAATAAAAAAAAATAAATAAATAAATAAATAAAAGTAAAATAAAATAAAATAAAATAAAATAAAATAAAATAAAATAAAATAAAATAAAATAAAATAGAATGAATGAATGAATGAATGAATGAATGAATGAATGAATGAATGAATGAATGAATGAATGAATTATTAAGGAAAAACTCTGCTAGTGAAATTAAACTACTGTTTTTTAATTAATGCACTAAATCATCTTCGCTAGCCAAGGGTTTCTGATACGCTACTCTCCTCATAATCCCTGATTATTAGGAGAGTAGCTAGCTGCAGATCTGTTTTTTTTTCTTTTTGTTTTTTTTTTTTTCGGAGAGCTACATGGATCTGCAGCTAGAGAGTAGCGTATCAGAAACCCTTGGCTAGCAAAGATGGTACTGAACATTTGTTTAAAATCTTTGTTTGTTAGGCTAATTTTTTCCTCCCTCCCTCGTACGTTTTGAACTTACGATATGACGTTAAACGTAGAAGTATTTTTGAACAGCCTATAAATAGTGTCAAATAATTTTTTCCGGAGTTCTAATGCCTTACCATGTAAGGTTTCATATTGTTCTTTATCTTATTATTTTTAAGCATAAAAAATCGCTTTTATATTCTAGTATAAGAAATCTAAATATAATCACAGTCGTTGATGAAAACAGTATTATATTTGTTTTTCTCTTTGTTATTTTTTGTTAATAAATTTTATCCAATCGGTTGCTGTTTTGTTCGCAACTCAAATGTAAACAATATGGCGGATAAGGAAAAGCAGTCGTCATGGTAGATACCACGCTTTGAGTGAAAAGTAGTGAAGTTAGAACGTTGCATTACATTTGAACTTATTGTATGGGTTGACAGCTTGTGTTCATTGACATGAATTACAGGTATGTGTAAAAAATGAGCATTGATATTTTACGCAATTAGCCCGGTTTTGCATGACCTTTTTACACTTTATGCACATAGCTGATCACTACATAAAATCAATATGCGGTTAACTTTTTTCAATGTCTTGCAAAAAAAATGAATCTTTCGTATAGATGGAAGCAGTAGAACGTCCCCATACAAGTCGAGGTATACGCTCTCGAGCACGACGTCCCCCTTCAAGGGGTGGAAGACAGATAGAACAGTTGCTGAATGATGAAGGTGAAGAAAATGGAAGGCCTGCATCTCGACGAGGATTTACTCCAGAGACGTATGACAGGTGAAAATACATAAATTTAAAAAAAAAAAAAACATATCTTTATATGTATTGTAAAACAATTAAAAATGTCTTCGAAAGTCTCTCTTGTGTGTAATCTAAGACATATAAATAACATTTTTTGTCTCTTGAGTAATTTGAGAAATTTCTAATTGACTAGAAATTGCATGAATAGTATTGGGGAAGGGGGATTCTTTTATGGAGAAAAAAAATGTAAATATCCATGCATTATATTTATTTTTTAGAGAGGATTATGATGAATTTTCAAGACAGAGCCATGTATTTGAGAGACAATTAACACCAGAATATGGAAGTCCTCCTGGAATTATGTCTGGGCATATGTCTCCCCACCAACAAAGGAACTCCCCAGCCTTCAGGGAGAGCCCTTACTCACACAGGGGCTACCGACCTCACAGGGACAGCCCCTTAATTCACAGCCCTACCCATCAGGAATCTCCTCACAACACCCCATTTGAAAGACCCTCCTCCAGGAGAAAAGGGGATGTTCCAGATTTTGGAAGACAGTACAGCCTCTCACCTACTCATCATGAGGATCACCATTATGGTTCTTCACCGACAGAGAGGCATCATGTTTCTTCACCTTCAGAAAGACATTACAGCCCCTCCCCTAACCATGGGCACCCCGACCATAGATATGGGGGCCAACATGCCTACGATAGCAACCAGCAAGCTGGTAAGTTTTGTTAGTTTATATTTAAGTTAACTTTGAACCTAAATGTCTTATTGACATCACAATATTGTTTAATTAAGATTTTAAAAACTAGGATAGAATGATTTTTTATTTGTATGCCTGTTCTTTTATCTTTGAAAATAATAATTGGTGGAAATTAACTTGTCTGAGACTCCAATGTCTATTATTCATACAGGAGGTGGAAATGGATGTTGAATTGCTTTTATTCCCTAATTGTTCTAGATTTTGAGCATGGAGCACATTCTCCTAGGATGGAAGCCAATGTGTTATGTTTAGAGGAATCCTGGCCCCCATCTCCCAGAGAGAAACCTCCTACAGCCCGCCCAAAGTCTAGCCGAAAACGACTGAAAAGTGGGAGAAAGAAAAGGCATGAGCAGGAATCCAACCAGACCTACTCTGCTGTTGGTGAGGCTTTTGCTTTGTGTCTTTGTCATATAGATACAAGACAACAGAAACATTTTCAAACCTCTCAGGTGTTATTTCACACATAAGTGCATTAGAAGCTATAGCTAAAAACAAATTTCAATTTGACCTTTCATTTATTTTTTCCCTGTATAATTTAAGAGATCCAATAATTGAAGGAATTTTGTGTGTTTTTATGATTCTTGGTAATGCTGTTCAACACCAGCTAACAATTATAATACAATATAGTTTATAACAATATAGTTTTGTTAATTTTTCGTCGTGAATTAATTTTTTTTATGCAGACACACCAATACTCAGACCTCCCTCATCTCTCTCCAAGTACAAACCCCTTCCTGCAATAGGTGCTACATCACCTACGACCGACGATGTTGACGACATCTCCAAAAAGACACAGAGTGTGACGCTAGGACTCGGTGAAAGAACTCGAACTAGTTATTCCATAGACCTCTCCAAAAGAGAAGATCCATCTGAAAATGGTACTTCAAGAGAAAGTACTAGAAGAGAAAGTGTTGATCAGAGAAAGAGTGATCGACGAGAAAGCTTTGAACAAATTACTGACAGCAGGCGTCAAAGTTTTGACCAACCTGATTCACATAAAAAACTTTTAGAGTTTCCTAAGAAAGATGGATTTCAACCTCGCGACATCCCAACTGAGCCTGGTGAGACAGAACAGCGGATTTTGTTGGCTATTAGATTACCGGACGGAAGGAGACATCAAAGGTACTTCAGGTTAGTAGAGAAAATGGACACGGTGCTAAAATTTGCTGAGAATTTAACTGGGATGGAGTTGGGAGAACACAGGCTAGCATGTAATGCCCCCAAGGCAGTGTTTACAGATCTGACACAACTTATAGGGGAGTCCGGACTTCAGGATAGGACAGTTCTGTACCTCGAGGAGCTGGAGTGAAAAGACCCAGTCTCAAACACTCTGTACATCCCCTCTGTCTAACTTTTCAATCAAATCAACTTTATTTTTGACTCTATTATGTTTAGGCATATAAAACACTGTATACTGTACAAAAGGGTAGTTTTTGGTGCAAATTTAAAATTTTTAAAGCATGAACAAAATAAAACTTTGTCAAATTTTCGACTTTATAATAGACTAAGTTTAATCATATAAAAACACATACTATGCTTTATAAAAGGGTACTTTTTTGTGCAAATTCAAAATTTTTAATGCATTCCAAACTGAAATTTTGTCAGATTTAAGACAATATGTAATAAATCTCATGTATGTACAGGAAAAATGTTGAATTTTTAAAATTTATTTTTTTTGGGGGGGCTTCGTTTTATTATTATTTTTTTTTTTTGAAAGAAGAATTAATTTACTTTATTTTTTTCTCCAGTACATTTTGCTGAAGTTTTCGATTTATGTTTACATAAGCTTATAATGTTAATTTCTTTTAGAAGAAGGGTCACTGGGTAAAATTATGCATTGGGAAATAATTTTTATTCACATGTAAAACACAATTTTACTCTTACTTCTTTTTAAATAAAATCTCTCACATACCTCAGTGCTCATATTTTGCCTCAAACTTTTATATTTTAATATTTTTTTGTCTTTTTGTACATACAGTAAAACATTTATACTTATAATGAAGCAAAATCCTTGGCAGAGAATGTCAGAAGCATGTTTTACTGTACATATTAATTTTACATAAACAGTCAAACCTTGATATCTGAAATATGACGCAACAGAGATTACTTAAAAATACCTAATGGGTTAAAATACATAAAGAAAGTGACTGGAACTGCTAAATCACTTAGATTATTATCTCTGGTATTCATGGTATCAGGGTTTGAGATAATGAGGTTGAACTGTACATTTAAAACACAATGGAATAGTAACTTGAGCATGCATGGAGTACATGTAGCTCCATGAGTAACTCTCACGTAGTTATAACTTGTGCTGTATCTATCAGGGCTATGTAGTCAACTTTAGATCTCATTTTAGGATTTACAAATGTACCTCATTATATATAAAGCACACTGTGTGTGCATAGCATGGTACAAATGTTCTGGTGTTATTTAGAATGTTTGATTGAGTACACTGTATCTGGAATGTAACTTATATATGTTCATAATTAGAATGTATATGTATGGATCAAGGAATTCGTTCGGACTTTTTAACTAGGTCATTTAATTTATCAGGTGACCATAGACTTTATTGTTGTTGCTTTTTATTAGTCTTTAACACTTTCTTGTTTGTTACGATTGAGAGAAAGCAGTGATATTAAAAACTGTGATATATTTCTTGACTTTTAACATATGTATGGTTTTCATTCCATTGGTTTAATTATTATTATCTTAAAGTTGAATTCGTAACATTTATTGGGTTTGCATCAAATAATTAGGTAGCATTTATTTTATGGTATATTTTATGTCCATAACTCTAGGTAGTGCTAGCATGTGTAAGTTTTTTTTTCACAAGAAATTTTGTGTACTTTTTCTCCTGCATGTATTAATACAACAGTTCTAAAAAATAGCAGGATAAATTTTATCTATTGGTAAAATTACCTACTGTGTGAAATCATTAATGTTCATAGGAGTTTGATTTTTGTTTCTTTTTTGATATATGAAAGATCAAACCATGAATTTGTGTCTAGCAGGAAATGTAAAAATTTCACATCTAAAGCTATGTAACATTTCTTGAACCATGAAATCAATTTCCCAAAACCAGTACTTTTCCTTCAAACCATGATTTTTGACTTTAAAAACAGAACATGAGTTTTAGATAAATATAGTGCATACATGCAAATAGGAAATATATATAGTACAGTAAGTAGCAATTTTCATAGATGGCAAAGACTTGGCATATAACCTAATAAATACTTTTATATGGTAACCCAGCAGATAAAAAAAATCAGTTTATCATCTGAAAAATGGGCAAGTTTTCCCTATGTAAATTGTAAGTTAAAGATGCAACCTATATTTTGAACAGATTTAAATTACATATGTAAGATGCACAGGCACCTGACGTTACTTTTTTTCTTTTAAAAAAAAATATATACCCATATTTTTTTTATTAAAAAAAATACCCCCGGTAAGTAACGTCAGATGCCTGTGGTAAGATGTGGTTGCATGCATTGACCACAGTTTTGCCCAACATATTTGGAATTAAATTTTTGAGTGATTGAAAATGTGCCAAAATGTGTCATTTTATGCTATAAACTAGCATAAACATTTATATACACTCTAACCTATATTTAATAGAGGATTTCTTCATTAGTAAATTAATTATTTGATATACATGTCCTTTTAATTGATTTGTACTTCATATTAATTTGGATATGTCTGAAATGAATTTGCTGCAGATTAAACAAATTACACGAGGGTGGTAATAAACTGCCATCACAATTACAATATATAACTTGCAAGAATTTATATATTTTCCCCCCATTCACACGATATGTCTTGAGTGGATAAATATGGGCTAAAGCATCACTTTAAATGGAAGTTGGATTTAAATTTATGTTTGTTAATCATTGTTTTCACTTTGCAAAACTTTTCACTGCTACTTTGACTGTGCCATAGTCATAATAGGAAATAAATTATGTTTCATTGTCTTCTTTCTCTGTATTATAAAAATTGTGCAGGATGCAGACCTTTTCTCACCTGCCAGAACAACGAAATGACCCAACCTACTATTTGTTCCAAAAATATTCAGTGAATACATCTTCACACATTCAGTTAGTGTAACTGCATGGAAAGGAATGTAATGGATTTGAACAATTATTTTCAAAGGTATGCTGGTGAAACAATTGAAGAAACAACAATATACAATTTCTTGTCTGACTTTATTCCATTGAATATATCAACATTATACATTAAAATGTTCTGTTAAAAAAAACAAACTTCAAAAATGTCTGGCAATAACTGCTGTGAATGTCAAATGGAAGCCTTCATTTATTAATAGATGATTCCAAATGGAAGCTCACTGAACATTAACTTGATATATATGCACCATTCAAAGGGAAACCCTTATATATTGCATGTACTGTGTTGATAAGTACAAATTGGCAGTCCATACACAACAATTCTACCTACAAGTACTTGTATAAATTATGATTATTTCATGGTTACACTGGCAATATCAGTAGTTTTGACAATATACATTGTACCCTGAATTCACCTTCAAAATAATCTCAATGAAGACTTTCCTTTAAGTCAATTAAAATAAAAATTTCTATTAAAAAATCGAAAGCTTTATCTGTGGGTGTTTAAAGCCAACTTGCATGTTATGCTCATTAAAATTTGTAAAATATCAAAAATTGACTTTTTTATTTGTGCACAAAACTGCATCAAACAAAATTCTGAATTTTGAATATAATGAACAGTTTGCTTTGGTATTAAAATTAACCATGGAATCAATTAAAATCATCATATTATTCAATACAGTATCAAAATCTCCTTTCTGATTCTTCTTTACAAGCTGCATGTCTGTGTTTTTAAGGACTAGTGTTATGCAAAAAAAATTATATATATATATATATTATATATTCCAATCAAGAAAACATAGAGAAAACCCAGACCCTCGACTAGAACACTCAATACAATATGTATATATATTTATATATATACAATACATACATCAACAAATACAATATTTGGCACAATCATCTAATTCTAAAAAAAAATTGCCATAACAACACATTCTACATAATATTTTATCTACATATAAAAAATCTTCATTAAATACATCCATGTAATTTTCATCTCATGATGCAGATTTGGAGCATTAATTCACAGAGAGCTATATCTGAACTTTGCACCTTATAAATTTATATCTTAAAATCATATTCAAAAAAGAATGAAAAAAATTGCCAAAACAAGAAAAAATATGTAAACTGAATTCCTTAATGACAGGAATCAGATCATCAAAAGAGATTTTTGTTAATAAACAATGCTGATTAGAAACCAATTTTCTAGCTGTTGAATTCAATGCTGATAGAAAACTTTCTTTTAAAATATGAGCAGTATATGGTCGAACATTTACAAACACTTAGAAGACATGGAAGCTCTGTCATCACACACCTCGTAACGTGGAATAACATCTCTATATATAAACTGTGTATATATAATATATAAACTATAGATAATATGCACCTTGAGTGATTATGAGTATTCCTGTTTACCTACAGTAAAAGCTCCAATAAATTTCTAACTGGCAGCATCTAATAACAAAATCATAAACTTTAGAAGCAAATTATTGCCATGATCGAGTAAATATCATGGTGATAAAACATTCTCTTTTTCTTTAAAGCTTATCTAAATTGTAATGAGGAGTATTTAACAAAATGAAAATTTTGAGTAATTAAAATTCCTACTTAAATATAAAAACCTATTCTAAATTCTTCAAAATAATCACTATCAAATGCCATAGTTAAGTCAGCAGGATGGGTATTCAATAACTACCTCTAAATATTACAACAAAGACTTACTAGATGAAATTATTTAACAAACAGCCTTAAATTTACGAGACAAAATCCACTGACTAGAGATAATTCTGTGGCAGCATTGTATTATTGCATTATTACCTCACTTAGTAACATATTTAAAAGTTCTAATGATAATCATAACTCATACTGACATATAATGATATAGCACACCATGTACACCAAATAAAGAGATTACTAGCATTATGGCACGCTTCCACTTCTATACATCTCCAAACATGTATATAACGGAGAAATTGTCATGAAATTATTCTTAACAAAATAAATGTGATAACAAATTAAAGCAAAAATATACAGCACCCTTTTCAGCTTTTAGTGAACAATCTAAAAGAACTACTATAAATAGTATTTCTTCCATGAAATAGCTAAGTCAAATCTTGGCCACTGGTTATCATGAACACAAATGTATAAGTATGCATTGGTTTATAGAGTTACTTTACAAACATTTTTTTTCCTTTAAAAAAAACATTCTATTCATAAAATGGTACAAGAAAATCAACAACTACATGTAAATTAAATCATTTGGCAACACAAAACTTCACAGAGTAAAATTCATCTTGACACATCACCAATTTCCAGTGTATATCAATTAGGAAATGTTTACTAATCAACAAATGAGTTTAAATAACAAATAAAAAAAAAAAAATAACAAATCATGATTCACATATTGCCTTATCTTCACACACCCTTCTCGGCATAAAAACCTCAAATGTGCCCTCTTGAGTTTTAATGAAAACAGATCTTGGAATAAACCTCTGGAAAAAAAAAGAATTCCTTGGAGAAAGCAGACTAGTCAATACTGCAAGTCCATTGGCTAAAATCCCAGCCAATCATGTGTCTTCTGTACTCTGAACCACAGAAATTTTCCTCCTTTTAGCATAATGCTCCATTCTGTCTTCTAAACTGTCTGAAAGAGAAAGATAGAAAAACACTGCAATACCGTCAAATGCACTAGATGTGTGGCTGAGATAGAGTTGCTCCCCTTTAACTGTGCATAAAGTTTTCACCTTCAACATGGAAGAATTATATGTTTCTTTCCAAGAAATTATCTACTATTGTTAAACTTCATTAACTTTGACTGTTGAGCAAACTTTAGAGTAAAGGCTTAGAATTCTTACCACACAACTGTCTTTCTAGCAGAGGTTTGTGGACTTTGCCCTTCATTGGTACAATCCAATCGGCCTGGTTACAAACAGGACCACTCAAGTCAGCCCAGGGAGCAATGTCACTGTCTGTAGTGTGTAAAATAATACATTAGTAATATTCACCAGGAACTTAGCTTAAAATTCTATTACAATTGGACATCATTGTCAAAACATTTGGATTTAAATTCTTCAACAATAAACACAAATAGCATAATACTTAAAACAAGTACCTGTTTCAACCTTTGCTTTATCCATTTCCTCCAACATTTTCTTAATCATTGATGCCCTGTAGAATGATAATAAATTTATCAGACAAATGTCTCCTTAAAAACTGAAGAAAAAGACTTAAATTCAAAATAAAAATTTTATAAGTGTGAAAAATTTGCAAGCATTATTCAAACTGATGGCAGTGTCGCTTTTAACAGTTGTTTTAAAAAATTCAAAAACATCATCTGTATTAAGTTATATTTTAAAGATATTAGAAATGCGATTGTAGCTAAAATGACTTATCCCACAAGAACTGTTGTGTCCTACCTGATTATATGCTGTGCCCAGATCTGCTGTAAATGCTTAATATTCTCCTCATGCCAATCTGTAAAGAAAAAATACCAGTACTAAAATATAATCCTAGATAATGCAGCATTTCAACTTTTTATTAAAATTATTGCTTTCACATAAAGGTCACATCATTCATAAGATTGATTTACATTTAACTGCCAAGAGAAATATTATTTACCTGCTTCATATATCCATTCCATGTCGGCTGCAAACTCAGCATCAAAAAGATTCAAGGGCAGTTCTGGAAATGTTAAAATAAATCAAAATGAATTTCAATTTGTTTAAATATGTACTGCTTTTCCAGGTACTGTTTGCCAATTTCCTTCATTTTGTGTGTATGTCATGACAGTTATTTCAAAGCCCTCCAAAATGCTTACATACCTCTCCAAATTAATAAAATTATACAGTATAAGCTTACCTGAGGCCATTGTGTACTGTGGTTTTCTGGGATTCTTTTCAACGTCCAACAGCTCATCAATGATCTGTAAAAGAAAATCAAGACAATCATATATCAGAGTTATCTCCCTTGGTCTGTGCCTAATCACAATTTTCTCATGTCCACCAAATGTGACAAAGAAGATCCATTTGTACCTCAGGTTTTTCTTTTCCTTGACCAATCATGAACAACAGAGCCACAATACATCGGATCTGATGCCACAGGAATGCCAGGCCAACAATGGTCAGTTCACACATCTGATAACCCTCCTCCCTAATCACGGAAAAAAAAAACACCATATCATAACAACAAAATTCTATACAATACATTTGATCATTATTAGTTTACACATGATCATTTGATAGTTTATTTACAAGATATTCAAAAGAACACATCTTCACATAAGCAGTTGCCTTACCCTTCATCCACAGTCACTATTTCAGCAGATACTATTTTCCGTGTATAATTCACAACCCCATTTCCAACATCCATTTTACAGAAGTTCCTGTAATCATGTTCTCCAATCAGCTTGTCTACAGCTTCTTGCATCACCTATAAAATTCATTCATTTCCATTAGTTACACATACTTGTGCAGTTCAGGATTATTAATATCTATTCTACATTTTAGGGGGGGGAAGTAGATTTAACAGTAATTATTTATGCAAAATAACTTGTTTTAAATTACCTGTAAATTAAGGCTACCCTTTGGAAAGAAATACTTGTAGGTTCGCTTCTTGCAGTCAAATCTGCAAAGAAAAATAGAATGTTAACTTTTATTGCCAAGAAATTCCAATTCTTTGATCAAAGGAAACAATTACTGTAACAAAGAACCATGTACATCTCTGATACTAGTGATTAAAACTCCACTTCACTTTCATCGATAAACAGGGATTTTTTCTGAGTAACGAAATCTCACCTAGCACTAAAGCCTGGGTCTACCGGGGCCCAGGCCAGACACCTGATCTCGGGAGGAAGCACTTTATTGAGCAGGTAACAAAACCGCAACTCTGTAGCTTTATCTCCTACAAAGAAAATTACATATAATAGAGATAACCTACATTGTTTGTAGTCCAATCTATTTATTAATTTATTTATAATGTAAAAATTTTTTGCTTACAAAGAGTGATGGTCAGTAATTTCGAACCATATCATAGATACTTGTACTCAAGAAGTGACAGAAATTAGAATGTTAAATATGTACAAGTAATGATTGTAAACTTGGAAATACACTGTATTATACTGACTTTAAGTAACGCGGAACCATTCTGTTTACTTACCCGGCCGTTCCTGGGCCGTGCCATCTTCCCTGATCTTAACTCCGGTTCCTTCCACAAGATTGGTCCGGACATCAAGGGAGATAACCTAACAAACAGATTTCTGATCAGTACTACCTGTATCAAATTTTCAACATATGTACATGTACAAATGTACATATAAAATACAGGATTAACCTTATAAAAATGGGTCTACAAATAACTTGAAATTCTGATTTAGTTTCAAAACCTGTTTTTTCTATAGTACAACATTCATCTGCTTCTATTTTTATTTTTTCTAATTTTAAAAGAAGAAAACATTTAGAAGAAAATTATACAACATGCATCCTATCCTTTTATCTATTCTATAGTTTACATCTGTTGAACTGAGCATACCTGTCCAAAAGCACTGACGCCCTTGTCGGTGCGGCCACAGCGGTGGTAGTTGGAGGTTTCCCTGGACTCGATCAGCTTAGTCTTTAGGAGGGCCTCAAACAAGGCGGTCTCTATCGTCTTCTCTGTGTCCTCCTGTACAGCAAAGCCGTGGTAGTCCCAGCCCAGGTACAGGATCTTCAGGGCTATATGTCTCGTGTTGTATCTGTTTAATGCAGTCATTCTTTTTTTAAAACTGCATATTGCATGATTTTTAACACTATAGATACCAATCTTTACTTCTCCATCAATAAATTAAAAAAAACAAGAGGCCCATGGGCCACATCGCTCACCTGAGAAGCTTTGACCATTCTGTTCTTTACCAGATTTTACCCTTGTTATACATAATGCATCCCCACCCTACCCCACTGATCATAATTTAGACATTTTGAAATCTACACTACCCCATGATCCTTCCATGGGCACATATGTTTCAGCTTTTTTGGCCCAGTGGTTCCAGAGAAGAAGATTTTCAAAGATTTTTCCTATATATTTCTATGTAAAACTTTGATTCCCTATAATGGCCCTGCCCTTCCCCCGGGGGTCATGATTCCTACAATTTAGAATTGACACTACCCCAGGATGCTTCCACATAAGCTTCACTTTTTCTGGCCCAGTGGTTCTTGAGAAGAAGATTTTCAAAGATTTTTCCTATATATTTCTATATTAAACTTTGATTCCCCATTGTGGCCCCGCCCTTCCCCCTGGGGTCAAGATTTGAACAATTTAGAATCTACATTATACCAGGATGCCTCCACATAAGTTTCAGCTTTTCTGGCCCAGTGGTTCTTGAGAAGAAGATTTTCAAAGATTTTTCCTATATATTTCTATATTAAACTTTGGTTCCCCATTGTGGCCCCGCCCTTCCCCCGGGGGTCATGATTTGAACAATTTAGAATCTACATTATACCAATGCTTCCACATAAGTTTCAGCTTTTCTGGCCCAGTGGTTCTTGAGAAGAAGATTTTCAAAGATTTTTCCTATATATTTCTATGTAAAACTTTGATTCCCCATTGTGGCCCGCCCTTCCCCCGGGGGTCATGATGTGAACAATTTAGAATCTACACTATACCAGGATGCTTCCACATAAGTTTCGGCTTTTCTGGCCCAGTGGTTCTTGAGAAGAAGATTTTCAAAGATTTTTCCTATATATTTCTATATAAAACTTTGATTCCCCATTGTGGCCCCGCCCTTCCCCCGGGGGTCATGATTTGAACAATTTAGAATCTATACTACCCCAGGATGCTTCCACATAAGTTTCAGCTTTACTGGCCCAGTAGTTCTTGAGAAGAAGATTTTTTAATGACCCAACCCTATTTTTGTCTTTTCTTGATTATCTCCCCTTGCGAGGGGATATGTCCCTTCATTTTAACAATTTAAATTCCCCTTTACCCAAGGATGCTTTGTACCAAGTTTGGTTAAAATTGGCCCAGTGGTTCTTGAGAAGAAGTCGAAAATGTGAAAAGTTTACAGACGGACAGACAGACGGACAGACGGACGGACGGACAGACAGACAGACGGACGGACGGACGACGGACAAAATGTGATCAGAAAAGCTCACTTGAGCCTTCGGCTCAGGTGAGCTAAAAAAATTATTTCATATTTTTACATTGAACATTTTTTTAATTGTAAATACATTTTGTATAAAAAATTCACTGAAAAAAAAATAGCACTTTGATAAAAGCTTAAATGTGATGTCAACAGAAAACCCTCCTAAACCAGAGATTTATAGCAAATTATGCTTGGGTTCAGGTGTTCTAATCTTTCCAATAATTGAAAAGAAAATTAATAAGACCGTTTGACTGGTCAGTATCTAAATGTTCAGTACACGGATGGTTTAGACAAACATTGTCATTCCATTATATTGCACCTTACTTCTTTCGTTATAAAATAGTATGGTGTTTGTGGGGGAGGGGGATAAAATTGAAAATTCATTGCGTCCAAAAATTCACTTGGAGCTGATTGGCACAAAAATCCTGTCTTCTAGAAACCTCCACATCAAGGAAACCCTGATTTGAACCCTGAAGCAAACTAAACAACTTAAACTCTTACTTTTTAAAATCAAATTCTCTGCCTTTGGCCTTTTTCTTGATGTGACCTTCACCTTGACCTTTCAGGACGACATTTCTTAGCTGTTTTACATGGGACTCAAGCTGACGAACTCTTGTCATCAAATCCTGAAATGAACAAAGAAACATGAAAATATCTGGGAAAGTAACACATTATAGTATTTGTTTAAAATGTATTGATATCTATTTAATTTATTTCAATATTTTTAGGGTCGTACTGACCATTTTTTCAAAGAATTAACGTTAAGTAAACAATAATTAATTGTTTGGGGCTTTTTTTTGGTCGAAAATTTCTCTAGTTCAGTACCAGTAATTAAAATGATAATTATAATTATTTTCAATTAATGAAAAAGATTCATATGTAGAAAGACCAATTAAAAACATACATTATCAATCTTTTTTTCAATTTGAGTCTGGTAAAAATAATGTAATTAATCAGATATTCATTAATTCAACCCACAAAAGGTTAAAATAAACAACTCCGAACAAAATGCGCAATTTCTGTTCACACGATGAGGGAGATCACCCTTGTCTTTTACGAGTGGCAGGCCAGATTTTTGACCTGTCACCTGCACATTTATATACATTTCATTACTTTTCTGTGTATGTGTTACATCACTATACACCTTATGGCGCCTATTGTCGACCACTGACAACCCCACGTAAAACAAATCTTCACGAACACATGTTCGGAGCCCCAGCACAATCTAACAGTCCGAAATCATCCAGAATATTATTTTGTTTGGAGGGGATGAAGAAAATTCAAAATTCTGATATCATCTGGTGTTCATGAAAATTTAATTCTTTGTATTTTTTATTCTGAAAATTTAATTTCCCTTACAGGCACGCATAACCAATGAGAAAGCGTGCTGACCATAAATCATAGTATCTGTGGATACACAATATTATCATACACTGTCATCGACTATCTACTTCTTATATCACCAATAATGGAGATTAATTCACTATCTGCTATCTTCATCTTGATTATTTTACAGTAAGAACATAACTACTTTTCATGGCCCCGAGGAAAATACATAATGTTTTTCGGAGAAAATGTAAATGCATGTACCTTTGTGCACAGACTGCCACTGTATACCTGGCGACAGCTTTCTACGGTTAAAGGCATTTCAGTGGTAAAACACAAGTGGGTATAAAAAAAACTACTGGCAATTAATCACTTAAATTAGACAAATTTTATTCCTCATATCTTGGCAAAAGGAGCTTATGCAAATACAACTCATTTGTATTCAGTAAAAATGTCTATCTGGACTTTCGTTCACTTATCCCGGCTCGCATTAGATTGGAAAATGATAAAAGTCATTTCTAAATTGCTTCCTCTACCTTTTTTTGTTAGCAATCAATTATCAAAGTTTTTATATTAATAAATAAAAGTAGATGATTCTAGATACATAAGCTTTATTTTATCTTTATGTAAAATCATAGGCTGATAAATGGGGGATTTCCTCTCTAAATACACTCAGTACTAATGGATTCATTGAACGAGGACTGGTATTGATTAAGATGTCAAATAAGATATAGCCCCGACAAGGCGATTATGTCATCCCATCCATCACGATTTGTCAAGAGGGTGAATCTACCCACAGTTCTAAGTGTCATTCATTATCCAGTCACTCACAATGAATGTAATCACGTCTGAAATGCCACATATGTGGGTAATCTGAATGCAATAAATCAATATTAACAAATCTCAAGAGTTTACAAATTATATTCATTGGAGAATTTTTTTCATTGTTGTTATTTTGTTTTTCACTATTCATGAATACCCATAAAAAAGAGGATGGATTGAAGATGAAAGGGTATCCGATTCATTGTGGCTCAAATAATACCTCTTTATTTTTACTATAAATCTGTAGTTATATACATATATATTATCACATCGAAAAGAATATTCTTCAAATATCATTTTTGAAAGGTCATGCAATTTTTTAAAGGAAATACATATTTCTTTCAAGAATTAAAATATAAATTAATTTTTACAAATTCAGGAAAACAGCTCTACTATATGTGACATCTAGAATTATTCTCTAACTTATCCAAACCTCTCCTAATACCTAAAAAACAGCTTGTTTAAAAAGATCTAGGAAATTGCTAATTAAAACATGACAATACAACATCTACGCAACATCGGATAACATAATAAAACATGAAAGAACTGCCCGAGGGCTACGTTTTTTTGTGTTTTTCACTGAACAACCTTTTTCTCTCTTGACAAAGAGACGACTTGTACCCATAAGTACCAGACCCACAGTACCCATCCATCAAACTGACTTCTACAAACAATAACCTCATTTATCTTTCATTGCCAATTAACTGTGCAGCCCAATAAAATGGCTAATGTTTAGATATGTAAACTTCACATCCCCTAAACCATCATTTTTAATGCATAAATCAAGGAAAAAATTTTCCCTGCTTGAAAAAAACAACTTGTATAATCTAATCTGATGAAGCAGGGTAATGGTATTTAATCTGCATCCCTCATTCATATACATTGGAGTATTATCAACAAATGCCTCCAAACCTGGCAATGCTATCTGAAATTTTAATCAGGGTACCAGAGAGCTCTGCAATACGAGGGCGATACAGGCTACAGGGTATAACGGGCCTATATGTAGCGGAAACAGATTGATATCAAGGGATCAACTCCCATTAAAATGCAATGTATTCACTGAAAAACAAAGGGAGGGCCCTGTCAGATATTCAGGTTTCCCTATTTTTTTTTTTATTTTCATATCTACTGTAATTTGTACCTGCCTTACAAATACATTTACTACATTATTTATGATCAATGGCATATATTGTCTAAATTATGAAAATCTTGAAATGAAAACAGATTATTGGGGGTTTGTTCTAGAAATGAAACCCAGAAGTTTATACTAATTTCACAATTCTCCTGCAATGGGCCTCTTATTTTGGGGTATCCATAGTAAAGTATGGAGTCCTGCGGGTATGTGAATATATGAGCCATCTACCTCAAAGTTCTTTGTCTATTAAATTTCCCCCAGAGAAAACTTTTAACATTCCCATATACTCTTATCAAATGTTTCTGCCCATAAAAGATTTTTGCTTGGGTACCAATACAGTGCAGATGGGAAAACATTTAGAATTTTATACATGTAGTTACAGGTCTGAAAAGGCATCCGTTTTCCTGGCTGTAAAGTATCATTTAAATTTGATTAAGCAGGGTTGTCTCTAAGAATTGAAATAGCAGGGGACATTAAAAACATAGAAGGGCTGGTTGGGGTTCCTCCCTTTACAGAGGGTTGAAGGGGGGGATACCATAATAATGGGGGATTACATCATTATAAGTGGGGAAATTCCACAGCCCCCACGAGTCTTATTTTATGAAACTGATTTCCACTGGAAAAGTGGACAATAAATATTTCCTCCTTTCTCCCCATCTTTTCAAAAACTGCTTTATTAATAATGTCCCTACTTTTCCCATCCTGTTTCCAACCCACTGTGGTGTACATACCGTGTAATGAGCTATCTTACCCGCTAGCTGTCTGGGCTCCCCCGAAAAAAAAAACTATTATTGACCCCCCAAGAAAATTCAATAAAGTAACCATGGCAATGAAAATTATGGGTGAAAAAATTTTGTGGCTTACGGCCATTGGGGATGGATTATATTTGGACAAACTTGCAGTATATGACAACATGGAAGACAAGCCATCAATATCCTGTGGTACTGTGTTGACACTCAAGGTTGCATGCACCAACCATTTCACATCAGTTCATAAAGTTAAAATGAACCAGGATTTTTCTATTACACCATTCAGGTGAACGATCCAGGAACACTAGCTGTAATAATTAGTGTATATGTATCCTAAAATTCAGGACTTAATTCATAAGTGCTTAACCTTGTCATGTACCCTAATTGATTCTTAACGGTATATAGATGTATGTATTTCTTTTTCAGAACTTAAAAAAATTCAGTCTTTAAAGAAAAACTACAACTTCTTGAGACATTACCATCATTTCACTCTGAGACTTAATTTTTTTTTCTAATTTATTTTTACATTCTTTTTTGTTTGTACATTAAATATGCATATCAAGAAACTATCAGGCATGAAATAAAAATTATTTGCCAAGATTTTTTTCTTATTTAATTCCTAATTCCTTATTGTCTGCATATCTGATATCTATTTGAGTCCTACAATTTTTTAAAGATGAAATTTAATTGCCAAGAATCATCAGCATATTCAATCATTTGAAATATTGCTTGTAGATATTAATACAATAAAAACCCACTTTAATTAAGATGACGAAACTCCCCAAAATTAAAAATCAGTTCACAATCTAAATTGCATCGATCATCAAAAACACTCTCTCTCCCCCAAAAAAATCCCCTTGTCCTCCTAATCGATAACAGACCCAGAGAAACCAAGATATTGATATTTTCTTAAATGCTCTTTTTTTCACCCTGCTATAGTGGAGAAACATCTTGTCTGTAATATGGAATTAGACATTATACCCCAACTGTGCCATGTCTTATTAGAATATTTCCTTTGTGTACGGATCAATTTCTTAAGATGTAACCACATATGGGCCCTCATGCTACACAAAAGTTTCAGGGTGTTTTCACTATCCCTATCCACAATAACAAACTGCCATGTTATAAGCTGTGGACCATTATTAAGAGAGTTCAAGTAACTTGTGACCACTTTTAAAGCAACTTCCTCTGCAGTTTTCAATGAAAAACTTTACCTCCTTACATTACTAGAAACCAAATTGGACAGGAAAATGAAAGTCCAATTGTGTCACTTTAAATAAACTATGTTATTTTGAAAAGTGTAAAATCATTAATACTCAATTCCTAGAAATCAAATTACTATCTAATATGTAATTTTACATGAGTTTTAAGTGTTTTCCAGTAGACTGGTTTCAACTGAATAAGTTTCCATAAAATGGAACTTTTGGAACCATAAACACAACTGTATGTCCAGTTCTAACAATAGAATATTTCAAAATTAATTCTCATAAATAATTATAATGCAGAATAGACCAATAATAACCAAGCATTTCCTTTTTTAAAAATATTTAAAAAGAATAATTTTTTTCATGAAAAATACATATATATTAACCTAATACATAATTAAAAAGCTCATCCTGACCAAAATTGTGAATGAAGATTATAGACATGGCCCCCTTTACAGTGTTTATATAAATTAAAGTTTAGAAACTTGCCTGAAATAACCCTTAACTTTCAGAGGATAAGTAGCTACTGTTAGAAGTCATAACAGGATATAAACACAAGTGTGTCTCAATGGCATAAAAATTAGTAACTGCACTTATAATCAGTACAAAAACGATCTTGTGACTTTCTTTCTTACAAGTCGTTAAGATTAATTAATCTACAAGCTGAAAAGAAAAAGATTAGGTAAAATCTTTGTAGCTATGATAGAGTACAAGTTTTGCATAAAATGAACTTTAAGCTGAATATGAATGCATATACAGTATAAAATTCAAAAATTCAAATATATCACAGTTCGGCATTTTACCCATTACATACGGGTTGCTCTAACTGTTATCTTATTTGGACCTCAAATAAGCCAGTGGGTTTTCATGCTTTGGAAATAAGATACCCTTCACCATAAGGTTATCAGCTAATTCCCATGAACCTTGAAAATTTTTTTGACCTTTTGAGGTCAGAATTACTTTATTTGTTTGAAAAGCCTTACTCCATTGCATGCAGGGTTCTGTTTTTCCAAGGATGCCTTGGATTAGGGAAACACTGTACACCCGATTGATATTTAATTAAGGCACATGAACAAGACAAAATGCGTAGACATGCAATATACAGCTTTGTCTTGTACCTGGGCCTCAGTGGAGCCCTCTACCTTGTCTGCTTTTCCGTTTTCCGTTGTCGGATCATCGTCCCAGATGTACGTGTAACCATTCTCCATCTCTCCCTCAGAAATAAGCTGTCTCAAATTGTCACTCATTTCTTCATCCTTTTGGTTTGACTGAACTCCCAGGCACCTGTCCAGTTCCCGCTTGGCCACAAAGTCTCGGAGCTCTCGTCTAACATTGGTTTCTGGCATTCCTCTTTGGTTTCCATTCCTGTGAGCACTTTGGTTGTCAATGTTGCACAGCGTTGTAGAGTCGGCAACATCTTGTTTGCTTTGGTTCTCTTTCAGAGAGGCGTTTATCACCTGGTAAGGGGTGAATTTCTTTCTAGCTTTGGCTCTGCTTGGACTAGATGTCTTTGGTGTGAGTGAATGAAAGCTGTCATTAGAACTTGACTCCAAAGAGTCTGTAGGACTATGTCTGTCCTGATAACCATTGTCTTGGGGTTCCCTTTTCATTTTCACCAGTGGAAGTGGAACATCTTGTTGGTTAAATTCAGGTATCACCATTCCCATATAAGGGGCATCACGGCTTTGAAGATTTGTCCCTGCTGTCATGAACAATGGCAAGTTTGGGGTTGTAAAAACTGCTTGTTGGCTAATAACTGGCAAGTTAACTGGCAAATTCATTGATGGGGTTGTAAAAATAGCATTTGGCAAAGCATTGTGGAAAGAGTTCGGCAAGGTATTGGGCATAGCAATTGTAACTTGTGGCACCATGGTCACAAAGTCTGTTGGGCCATTCATGTGATGAGGGTTGTTTGGTGAGGGTGACTTGGTATGCATCATTTTGAGATCATTACTAGGGGAGCTAGACACGTCCTCTGATTTCTGGGTGCTGGGGGACAGGCTAGACGGGGTGGGAACAGAGTCATTCAGGGAACCAAACTGATCGTGGTCTCCCAGCACTTCCACAAACCAGTGGTTGACATATCCTAAACGCATGGTCAGTTTTACTCGGTAGCTACACTTGTGTCCCCTCATTTTGGTTTTTTCACAACCTGCAATGCAAAGTGACATAAATAAATTTTTGGTTTATTTTTTAATGTACTAGTACAAACTATTTATCAAACATAAGATCAACAACTTGTTACACTTGAGCTGAAAGACATATGCAAATCAAAGCAGCGCTACCCTTTTTGCAGCCTGCATATCATTCCTACAAAAAGGCTGCATGGTTTACAACTTTATGCATACTGATGAAGTACTGCATCATTGAATACATCTTTATCCATTTAGTATTCCATAGGCACTGCACCCATAAACCAAAAAAAAAAAATCAATATTCATCTAATGAAGTCATTACCACAGTGATATAAAATGCAAATGAACAGTGTGGGATATGTGTGACATAGAAGCTGCCTGGAGACTTTTCCACCCTCATCCTGGCTGAGCTCAATCCAAATGATAATTTGATGCACCGAGTACGAGACTAATTTAAAACAATTTTAGTGACTATATCAATACACAGGCCACCAGTAGAATGCCTGTATTGTAGATTGGTGTCATCATCATTATAAACTGTGTGTAATTTTGACATTGAACCAAGCATTCAATAACACCAACACATGAGGAATGGCTGTCCTGTTTGCCTTGCGTGTTGTGTAGCATCTTTTTTTTTTATACAAAAATTTACATTGAATAATATGGGCCACTTTTTCTTTCCAATCAAATTATCTTAATAGTTCTGCTACTTCCCCTCCCCCAAGAAATTTAACCATTTTTTAAATAATTTTATATTACATCACATTTGTATCAGGAAAAGAATTGCTGTTTTTAAAAATTCTTAAACCAAGTTTCTTGAATGATTTACAACTTCTTGGCCAATCATTTAACTGTCACATGACAATACATATCTTTCTGTCTCATGCAATTCATCCACTTATACTTAACCTTAGGTTTCTTATTTTAAACCACTTGGAAATACAATGTATAAAAAAAAATAATTGTGATTTTGTCATGAGGATAACTGTTTTGTATGCAGAATGAAAGACAATCAGTTTGAATCTATTTTTGGCCCAATAGCATATGAAACAGAAAAAATGCAAAATACAATCATGTGAACCTGTGTGGACATTACAAATTCTACATGGTTGCTGACTTAATTTAGTTATGTAATACATCTATTTTTATAACATAGCATCATGTTTGTAACATCTTTAACTTAAACATCCAGTGATCAGAAATTTTCAAATTTGAATTTTAAAATAAGTTCCACTAACCTGCGACACACTCTCCGTATCCCCCACAGGCCCGCTTACAAGCCCCTGACCCACTGCAGTACAGAGTCTCCCGGGCTACGACAATCTGCTTGGCGTTCTTAGCCCTCCCTGCCCTGATGGTCCCATTGGTCAGCACCATACGGCCAAACTCCGTGTAGGAAAACTGGTCGTCCAGAAATGTCTTTCCTTTAATGACCTCCACATAGATTTTATGAACCTCCCGCCCTTTCCTTAACATGTTGGCTCTCTCGAAGGTTGAAATCCCCGAGAGGTAGGACCAAAGTTTGGCACATTGCACCAGCGTCCCTTTCCATGGGGGGCGAGGTTCTTCTGGAAGCACGCACTGATCTGGAAGAAGTTTTTCTGAGATGTTGGCTTTGACGTGGGGGGACCTGTCCCCTGGCATGATGCTGGGGTCTGGGAGGAGCTTGGAGGTGAGGAGGGTGGGGGCAGAGGAGGGGGAGTCAGCGTTCTCAGCTCCCTGGAGGAGTTCTGTACATTTTTCTGCCAGGTTTTCACCCTCCAAGTTTGAAGATGTGGAAGATGGACTTGCCTACAGCCGTATAAGTTCAAAGTAAATAAATCATGCATATGAAGAAAATTTCAATTCACCTTAGTTAGTAATTAATTAAAAAAAAGAAAATATTTTTTAAAAGCCTTATAATAATCTTCCTTGTACATGCTTTGTCTTTCAAATCCAATGACAAATATCCTTAGTTAAAACCTTTTATTAATCCCTACAACTTTTGCATCTTTTCAGACGACTCTCAAACGTCATCAAGCTATTTTCTTCTTACAGAAGTATGTGCAAATAATGGTATATTTCACCTGTGGTCCAAAGCAACAGGATTCACCCACCCAATGCATTACTTTCTTCTCTAACACATTATTGTCTCTACTTTACCAAACCAATGTTATTAGTTCCAAATTCATAAATTTCAAGTACCCTATTAATTTCTAGAAAAATTACATAATCATGCCACAATAGGGAAAGATGAAATGAGCCTGATAATACTGGTATATTTTTAAACTCTAATTCTAACAGTCTATGCATTTTTCCAAATGCAGAATAAAATGAAAAAAAAAAAATCTAAAATGTCTATTATTATGAAAAATAAAACAAAAGCATGCCAAAGACTAGAGTACTGTATAAAAGGCATATTCAATAGAATTGTATGCTATATGGAAAATTTGATGTGTGCAAGAAACATCACTATAAGCAGGATTACAGATTACACATATTTTACATCAATAAAATGCTTTGTACAGTTTGAGCCATTTGCACTGAAGTTGGATAAATCTGTTGCAGTAGATTTTTATAAGAGATGAAGAGACATGCTTATTGTCAAAATGTGTATTATCTTTGTAATGGTAATGTCATATATGTAAGCCACAGAGTAAAATTTCATAGTGATAATTCTATTCCATTTCCACTTCTTGTCAAAAACAAAGAGAATCTCATTTTGGTATTTCAGGTGTGTATTGATGTTTATATTAATTCTGGAGACCCAAGGCATTCAAGTAAATGTATATTAGTGTGAATTTCACCTATTAAGAGAAAGTTTTAAAGTGTTAATTTTGATGTACAAGTTCAAAATTTTTTTGAAAAAGTGTGAAATGTTAGCCACATGTACCACATATCCCATACCAAAATGAGCTTCTACATTTATTTAACATCAGAGTAACATTCATACCATGCAGTTTATTCAATATTTTTCTTTGTTTTAACTTTTTTCTTCCTGACACCCGGTTGCCGAGACATCACCCATCACCAAACCTAACACCATCCTCCTCCTTGCTCCGCGGGGCAGGAACAAACACCTTCAGACGCCGCAAAGACAGGTAAAAAATAAAGCTATATCTCAAACACGAAAGAGGCAAACAGCGGATATAAAATAGGCATTCCTCATGCAAATAATATTTGTTTGTTTTCCAGAAAACCCTGTATTTTTTTTTTTTGGACCACCTATAACAGAGTAGGAAACCAGGAAAATAAAACAATGTATTATCATAAAACAAAGAGCATTGTGGTACATTCTCTGCTCACCCATGCATGACAGGACATAACCCATGCAAAAGAGACCATGCAAGTCACTCTTAACTATCGCTCTGTCATATTTCAGCTCGTAAAATCCCCAAACCTCCGTTACCCATAATGGGATGGATAATAAGACAATACCTTTTTGGGCCATCTTTGCAAATAGCATTCCCTTAATTCATGTACCAGACTTATTCAGACAATATATTAATGTACTGCAAAGGTCTGAGTATTGAACACTTGACTGTGTAACATGTTTAATACAGACGCAGTCAATTTATCAAGAATAGTACATTTTAAAAGTTTTTTTTTAATTATCTATCTTTCAAGACATCAAATGTCTTTTATTTGTCGCAAACTTACAATGAAACCTACGTCTTGGTGAAGATGTAAAAAGTTTCCTGATGAAAACATTTGTCCCAAGAACCATGATAAAATACTTGTATATCAATCAGTTTAGCTTTTTGAGCACAAATGTTAATACAATTTTTCATAACAAATATTGAAGCTCCTTAAACATGTTAAAAGTATCTGAAAATCAAGTTCAATAGTAAAATCTGTTAAACTTATTATTAAAATTGTTAAAATTAACCTAAATAAGTTTCTTTGAAAAATAAAGAAAACATCAAATACACTTCTCCTATGAAAATCCACAAAGTCCCTGTAAAATTATAACTGTGTAATACATAAATTTGCAGGAATGCTGTGGGGATTTTTACATCAGACACAGATTGTAGTTTGACATATAAATCAAGCCTGTCCCCTACTGTGCTACATGACCACAGGGCTGGGTATCAGCTGGGTTGATTATGTAATGTAATTGCCAAGTGATGACTTAATGATAAATTGGATACAAATATGTATGACATTATTAAGATATTAAAATATCATGTTGCACACAGAGCCACAGGGGTACTCTGGGTACAGAATTCCTCTCCAATGATGGAGTAGAAAATCTTAATCATTACAAACTGATATGCTGATATACAATGACAAAGTAGGCAGAGTTTTAAACCAAGGTTCTTTTTTTCAATAAATTAATTCAAAGTTAAAATTTTGAAAATCTATTAAAAAGAGCTTAATATCAAAATAAATTAGTTCAATTTTTAAGTGTTTACTGTAACTCTAAAAATAGGCATATAGAGTGTCACTGCCTTTCCTTATCTTGTCTAAAAACAAGAGAAACGTCTAGCTGACGGTTTTATACTTTTGATCCTTTCAAGTTGACAAAATGATATATTGTGTCTGTTTTCGTCGTATGTATATTCGCAATTTGTATGTGGATAAAACTCCGCCCCCCTTGACGTCATGCTTCAATGATTCCGATAATGAAATGGCTGCGAAAAGGAAAGTCACGGACGAATGGTTTCGTTATAACGGAACACCCGAGCCATAACCCCGTAATCTGTGTCGACAATACAAGATAAAAATCTACATATGATGCGATAGATTAGTAAACAAAACGGACATTAAACAAGGCATTCTACAGCATGCGAAGCCAAAAATACCGACAACTTAACGCTACGTGTAATATTTACCAGGGTATGTAGATTGAGAGCCATGCATTAGATAAACAGCTGGTCAAATTCTCTACCCATTCTCTCATTCCCTACGCTTCAAACGACGTCTAAAAATGATTTCCTCTAGATTTTGTCAGTATAATTAAATGAATCAGTAAATGAATTAAAATATAATGTGTCCTACCTCTCTGGACAATTCCTCCAGCTTAGCGGGTGTCGATTTTTCGCCGAGTAAGTTCGGCACGTCTGTCTCGGGTGCTGCCATGTTTTCGTTTAATCTTCGGTGTACTTCATTTCCGTCACGTGACTTAGCGCGGGTTGGGTGAGAGGCATACCCAATAAATCAGGGGTAATTTTTAAATAAATTAAATACAATGTGATTAATGGGTAAATAGTCGATAGCACTTGAATTTTATTGGATTGCTTGAGGTGTAAATGTAGATAGATGTGTTGACAGGATTTATGTCGTGTATTTCCTTATCACATAGGTAGATCAAGGTGCGCGGTAATGACACAACCCCATAACAAGTACCTTCGATTCATGAATAGGGATTTTTTAAAGGTAAAACAGAAAGTAGAAACAGAAACGAGTGTATTTTCTATTGATACTACAATTTTACTTATATTTACAGTTTGCTTAAATATAAGCACTATTAGTGTTTGCTGTTAAATCAATATATCAAAAATATAATTGTTCTTTCTTTTAATTTCATGAAAATAAAAACTTTTTTCAAAGAAAAAAAAAAAACTTTTTTATTTACATTTTTTTAATAACATATCACGAACAATACATATATATACCATGATCAAAATGATTTATCTCTTAAAAAAAATCTAATATACGTTTGCAAATTAAATCTTTTGATGAACAAGTTAACACTTCAAAATCTGTTCCAATACGAATTAATTAATAACTGATAAATAGATATTGACATTTTAATTATTAAAAATTTACATGTGCAAACTATGTATTTCATCCTCAAACGCACTAAACTGTTGTGAAGCGGTCGGTGTAAGGCAATATCGTGCACCCAGTCGATGGGAAGTGGATGTGTTAAAAATTGATGCTGGCTGCTGGTAATGATAACACATCGCGCTGAGTACGTGTAAGGGTATGCGGCTGAGGCTCGGTGTGGGATGCAGCTTCAGAGTTAAAAACTTGTTTCTTCCTCATTTAAATAATCTGATGCTGTCATTCTGACCTGACAGTTGGGCAAATTAATTTGAGAAACAGTTTATCTGCAATACGTATCTGTTGATTTAAATAATAATGTTAATTTTTTTAATTGAAAGTAAAATTTATGGATGAGTACTATTATTTTTTGAAATTTCTGAAATTTAAGATTTTATGATTTTTTTTTTAAACAGTAGATAGTTAAAAATGTATGTAAATTAGAGTAAAATTTAAATAATTGATAGGAATGTAAATGATATTATGATCGTCTTGTCCACGCAGCAAGATCTCCTAGCACATACCCCTTTATTACATTTTTACAAAAATCTGTTTCCATGACAACTAACTTCACACTAACCCCTATGTGATGCGATAGTTATTGACTTGTGTTGGAATCTTTAGAAGGCTCTCACGCGATGGGTAGTTCTCGCCGTTTTACAACCCGGCACATTTCTACAGATAAAAATCGATGGAACAAAATCCGCATATTTTCCCCGAAAATGAGTTCGAAGTGTGGATTTGTCCTATTTTTCCAAGTTGACTAATCACCGAGATACAGAAAATTTTAATATGGACATTATCTATGAACGCACAGTTTCAGGGAAATAAATGTATTTTTTTTTCAGTCCTTTCTGATAGACGTATGCATGCTATATATATGTATCTATAGATGCTTTAGTATTTACCCAGGATGTTGCCTAATCGCATTATAAGAGCTTTTTCCTGCTAACAAACTAAGGAGCCAGTCTTCTTTATGGGTGACATTTGGGGTTTGTTGCAAGTTATTTTTAACCCCGAGAAAAAGAAAACTGAGTAAAAAATCTCCACCACAACTTTTTTTCCCTTGATAAACACTTAAAATTACAATACACAATTATATCATTTATTAATTCTCAGCAGCTTATTGACGACTTTGAACATATCTTTGTGGTTTTTTTTCGGGGGATAATGAACGGAAACAACTAGAGAAGTGGGGTGAATACCTCATTAAAACTGTTCACGTCTAATTCAGTTTTCTCCAGAGGCAGATTCTGAACGTCAAGCCAAAACTTTAATTGCACAATTTTCAGATTGTCGACTTTAATTTCGCAACAGCCATGAAGGGTAGAACTCTAGATCTTTAAGTTTTGTAAGAATCGAGTCATCCAAGAGTAAGGAAGTTGTGTTGCACAATTGTTATAAATTGTACCCGTTTGCATGAACATTGTGTACTTTTACATATACATGTATACACGAGACCTTAAAAATGTTACTACAGTCATAATAAAAGCCCAAGGTTTACTCTATATATTTATCAAAAATCACTGAACTCTCTCTCTCTCTCTCTCTCTCTCTCTCTCTCTCTTTCTCGTGTGTGTGTTGTGGTAAAAAGATTAGTTTTCAATCAGAATTGACTTCCATGACAAATATATCATCATTTTGAATTCAGCCCATTTTCATACAATTATATATTTAACTGTTTTCCACTGGGGGACACCCTCCTCCTCCCCCTCCCTCGTGTTTCTGACGACATTCGGTGATGTTTCCAAAGTAGATAAACATACGACATCGACATGAATATGTCATATGAAAGAGAGAGAGATATTTCCTTTTCCAAGGGTAGGGAGTTCAAGTGCCGATTTTTAGTTTACTCCACCCACCGGAGGCACTGCTACTCGGAGGGGGATGTTATGTTCGCGTGTATATTTAAGAAGTTATTGTTAGCCATGTAGTTTATTGCATCTCGTTATTTTTAAACGTCCAGAAAGTTTTGAATTCACGATTTTTATCGTATGAAACATTTTGAGGTGGGGGGGAGGAGCAAAAACAAAATATTTCCATTTAATTTGGAGGGTCACCATCAAGCAATTTTTTGGGGTAACTTTTAAGCATCAGACATTGTTTATTAAGGGGACAAAACAAAAAAAATATCAACATTTTCTATAATAAGCTATATTTCGCCACTGGGGGCCTCGCTCGTGTTTCCGACGACTTCAGAGGTTTGTGGAATCGCATAAAAAGGGAAATAACTCATTATATTGTGTTACTATCTTTGTAAGTGATAAGAGTTATCCATCCTTCTCTGCAATAATACATTAGTGGATCTCCCGTACAAAATATGATTTTTTTTTTTCAATATTTCTTTAAAATGACATTTGATTGGTAGAATTTTTATTGTGTAAAATGTATAAATACCCTCAAAAATGTTCACCAAACTTGACGTACGCGAACAAATAGAGAACACTAAAAAACTATTTTAAAAAAAATGTACTGTAAACTCTTATTATTCTCCTTTTTTTAAAAATCAAATTACATGTATGTGGTTTTGTCAAATATTAAGTTGTTTAACTAAACAAATATTACTTCTATTCAATACAATTTAATCTCACATTGTGTAAAGCAGCAAAGGGGAAATACCCGTACAACAACAAGAACAAACAAAATATAAGATGCGAGAGTATACATGTACATTTTATATATAATAACGGATTCTTTTTGTCCCTCGCTTTCGCGAAAGCGAGGGGACATTAAGGTAAGTCACTCGTCAGCGTTTTAGAAAAGTTCACGCAGAACCTCTTACTTAAAAAATATTAATTAAAATTCAATTTTTATAAAATATTTATATTCAACAATGTAATTTTTTTAACATTCATCGAAAAAACTGCTTAAAAATCTACAAAGAAGCAAGATTTATATATGGAAGGATATTCAGCAGGAATTTCTGCAAATCTGCACATTTATTAAATTCAATGTCTTGAAACTTTAGCCTCATATACTTTTACTCGAAGAATATTTTCCGTTATGATATTGCAGGAATATTTAATATAGGTCTTAATTTATATTTTTAGAACAAGTTTTACACCTTCCCTCAACAAACTTTGCCAAGAAATGAAGATATACCAAAGAAGTCCTGTTAAAATTTACACCATTTTTTGCCTGAAAATCACATATTTTGACCAATATTTCAAAATTTACATCACTGACCCCAACTTTTTCTTTCATTATTTTAAACTTCTCGATATTTGTGACTGATCAGCACTTAGCTCCTAAAAAGCTTGATATAAGAAAATATTTTATTGCCTATATAGTTTTTTAATACCCCAAATATGTTATCTTTTAGTTCAAAAAGGTCACACAATAATAAACGCGCATTGATTTTCAAGATTTGTTCAATGATAAAAATTATTCAAACTATTTTATGTAAAATAAGGTTAAATTTATTAACGTAGTAACATCTGATAAAATAAAATTAGAGATAAAGTAATGAATCAAAGATTAAAATTTAAGTGCAAAAAGGTCAACTTAAATGTACCATAGATCAGTAAGATGCACACTGACCTCCTATTTTCTCTGTGATTTTGAGTCATACTAGATGAGTACTTATCCAAAATATACTTCCCAAAAAATCCTTAATATAACAAATTTGACGAGTGACTTACCTTAAATCTCATTTGTCTGTCCGTCAGTCTGTCCGTCTGGTCCGTCACAAAAACTTTAACCTTGCCCATAACTTCTGATTTAGTGGAGCTATGACTTTCATATTTCACATGTATATTCCTTGTGATAAGATCTTTCTTTGGATACCACCGATTTTGACCTTTTGACCTTGACCTTGGAGTTTGACCCACTTTTACACAAAAATTCCAAACTTTTACTTTGGCCATAACTTCTAAATGGTATATAATAGGACTTTCATATTTCACATATATATTCTTTGTGACAAGACCTTTTATTGGATACCAATAACTTTGACCTTTTGACCTTGACCTTGGAGATTTCCGTACTTATGAAAAAATTTTAACCTTGACCATAACTTTTGAACGGTAAGAGCTAGGGCTTTCATACTTCTTATATGTAATTCTTGTGAGACCTTTCATTGGATACCAAGAACTTTGACCCTTTGACCTTGACCTTGGAATTTGACCTACTTTTCTAAAACTTGGACCTTGGCCACAATTTTTGAATCGTAGATACTAGACTTTTATATTTCACATATGTATTTTTTGTGGCAGGACCTCTCATTTGATATCAACAACCTCGACCTTTTGACCTTGACCTTGGAGATTTCCGTACTTATGAAAAAACTTTAACCTTGACCATGACTTTTGAATGGTCAGGGCTAGAGCTTTCATACTTCATATATGTAATCCTTGTGAGAAGACTTTTCATTGGATACCAAGAACTTTAATCCTTTGAACTTGACCTTGGAGTTCAGTGATGATTTCTAAATAAATGGCATGATAGGGTGTTCATATTACACACAATATGTCATAAAAAATGACATCTCACCCACAAAGACACCGAAAGTGGGGGACCACAATTCCTTGAATTTGCTTGTTTACTTGGAGATAAAAACTGAAAACATACACTCGCTCGAATTGTTGATGGTGAATACAACTTTTCTTGCAATTTTTTAACTGTTTAAAGCTGGGCATGACATAGATCTAATTAACCGCTGTCATTCTGTAAATTTCGTATCTACATACTAGTACATGTATACCACCCGGTAAATTCAAAATTTCCAATATGAAATATAGGCCAATGTATATTTTTGAATTTTGGCAGAGCAAAATTATTTTGTTATGTATCTTTAATATACAGGCGCTTGACGTTTGTTAAATAAAAGATTATAAAATCCCCTATATAGCATAATAATAAAGTTTTTATAGTATATATATGGGATATTTTTATTTATGAAAAGAAAGGTTGAAAACGTCAAGCATCTGTGCTTTAATACTGGTTAAGAATTGATAAAGTATACCAGAAAGTTAAAGTAAACGACCAAGTTCTTGGCTATCAGTGATTTTTTTTAATTGTATTGTGTTGAACAATCAAAATTCATTACATAAACACACCATGAGTGCCCATGAAGATCTACTCTATTGACTTATTTCTATGTTTGCAGCTGCTTTTATTTTGTGTTGAATTCATATTAAAATAAAAGAAGAAAATAGTCGGATAAGGTACCGTTTTTATTTTTAAGTTGTTAATGCTTATATACATGCATTGTTGGTATACATGTACATACAAAAATGTAAGCGATCATAGAATTTAAAAGATGGTGACATTTCATTACAAAGAAAGTACAAGTAAATACATGTAATCTACATTGATTTTCTTTAACAAAAACTTCCCATTGATTGATTAACAGGTGAAATAGTACAAACATTGACATAATTCTGACAAGTTTCAACAAAACAGATATTCTTAACTTTATTAACACACACAGATGTAAATCATGAGTTGAAGAAAAAATGTCATCTATAAATAAACAAGGAGGAATAAAGTAAGTGAAGCAAAATAAAGAATGGAATTGCTGTAGAAAATGACAGCCGCATTACAGCGATTGCCTGAACAAACACACACTGTGCTGGTGGGAATTCCCAAAACATAACTGCCAATCGAACACGTATTGGAAAAGCCCTTGCTGACGTCACATGTCCTGACGTAGAAATCTGAAAACATGGCAGAATTACGTGTATCCTTTCTTTTAAATTCTTAATTAGATTGCTCTTCTACATTTTTAACAACAAAAGTATGATTTATGAAAAAAATTTAGTAAAAACTTAGAAAATATTATGTTGGAAGGGGTCATCTCGACAAGCACCAGTCTGACAAGGTATATATATGAATCATATATATGAATTTTATTATACTCACATTTATCGTTCGTCACGCGGACTATCATTTTCATACAATCCCCGGTACAGTTGACAACATGATGGGAGAATGAAGACGTGTCTTTACCCACAAAGTGCTCGGTGCACCAACCATCGTCCAGGGACGTACACTCGTAGCATAAATAAGCCTCCCCTGCAAAACATTACAGAATATCAGTGCTACGATTGAGTAAATCATACTATCTAAAATGTGCCCATGTCCAAATGCCTTGATATTGCAACATGGTTAAAGAAATATACCTTTCCTCTTTAATCTGAGCTTGATTCATCAAATCTAATATATATATTTTGAATTAAGTGCCATACTAGTAATTGTTTCAAGTTCTTTTCCTCATATTCAGAGTGCATGATAAAAATTAGATACTAGAGATTTATCAATCTATGTATTTACTGGAGCTACCACTTATAGTATATGCTAAACTAAGAACAAATGGAGTAAGAGTGGGCTGAAATTCAAGATCGTATGCAATTGGTCAAACTATGAAACAGTTGAATTAGTCTCATCAGTGTTATCAGGCTTGAAATAGGATGGAAATGTCTTGAACAAAATGAACGAATACTAAAGTCGAAGTCATCAAAAGAGAAGATAAGAAAATAATGGTGGAATTAGGTGCCTAGAAGAAGTAAGCATCCCCTATCGATGTCAGGGGAATGGCGTCATCCACCTCGAGCGTTATGTATTGATCAGATAGGCGAAATATTCCGTATAGTCAAATTCAATATAAAAACAAAGGACTAGCGATTGGTATGAAATATAAATCATGCAGTCAAAATACTACCCAATGATAGGATATAAATGTATCAAATATTTTGCTAATAAATTCATAATAACGACCTTAGAATTTACATGTAGTATTGAGATATAATTACCCCCCCCCCCCCCCCCCGTGCCAGGGATATCCATCCGTCTGCCTGTACATACATCTGTTACGCTTTGGGGTACCCATCTTGTATCCGCAACTTTTCTGCTTGAAACTTTACCTGACTTTGCCATTACAGCCATATGGGATGCGCGGGGGTGGGGGTGGGGGGTGTATCATTTAGTGAGCTCGTTGCTCAAAGTACCACTAGTTTGATTTTATTTAATGTCGCACATTGCAAGTGTTGTTATTTTTTAAATACTAGTAATAAAATAAAAACTTAAATTTTATTCAACAGAGAAATTTTAGTCTATTCGCATTTTTTCAAAGTTCCTTCGTACTTTACAGAATCGATTATTAGATTTAAACACGAAAATAAGATACTGGTATAGATCATCATTTCTGAACAGCATCGCTCGTGGTGTTAAATTTAGTAGTATTTATTTTATGTTGACAAACTCGTTCATCATTAAATAAAGGGATGTGCACATTTGTTTGTCGATATTGATTAATGCTTGGGTTACATCACTCATCGCTGTACTGGGTATGGAAGTATCCACTGTTTTACTATTTATATATCTAGCTATTGTTTTATAAGACATTGTGTCTTCGAAAAATATGTCCTGTTACTTCAAAGATGTAATTCAAATGTCGTCTTAGCTGAAGATTCACGGAACCAGATGAGTAAAACACGCGCATTTTTCATGTTGTCGGCGCTTTTATAACTTAAAAAAAGAAACTTTTATTTTGACAAGCCAAAAAGGAAAAATCATCCAAACTAAAAAAAAAACTTCTTCATGAGAAAGGAAAGAGGCTAGGGAAGGTTCTAATTTTTTTTTTTCAACAAGTAAAATTTTGAATTCGGTCACTTATAAATTTAACTGTACTGCAACCAAAAAGAAAAATAAAACCAAAAAACAACAACAGGGAATGACAAACAGTCTTTTAACATTTTCTCTAATTACGTAAATTAATCTCGAAAGATTACGTTTCTAAAGACAAAAAGTAAGGGTAGGGAGTAGGGACAACCCAGAAACCCAATCTTAACTTCGGTTTTACAAAGCTGGAAAGTAAAGAGGCGAAATGGGAGAAAAAAACAAAGATATGACTACTGAATATAATTTTTTAGCTTAAACAATCAAAACAATTTTTTTGACAGAACATATACTCTAAAATATATTTAAACATTAATAAATAAATATAATCGAATAAACCAGCAAAAAAAATATAATCCTCGTTGCTTATTTTGTCAACATTTTCTTTTCATTCACACAAACTACAATTGAATACGAAAACTGTAAAGGAACAGCTAATCCTATCATTTGCTTATCACCAATCTATCGACATTTCGCATAATACATTCATTTCATTTTAACACCAAATCAGATTTAAGATTGTCTTAAATATTTACCTTCTATTAACACTGCAAGGATTAGGATAAGCTGCAAGTACATATCCAAACGACAGTCATCGTATTTCAAAATTAAACTGCAGTTATATGTGAATCATTGCGTACATATCCTCGGACACAACTGTGCATTAATAACGTTCACAAATGAAAACTGGTCACAGACAATGAAAATATAAAAATTCCATTATTTCGCCTTTCATGGTGTTTTTAACCCCGAGCTCTGAATGCGATAATAAGTCAACTGGACCTGAACGATTTAAATAAATAAGTATTTTGATTCTTCAGTGGTACGAGGAGCCTAGCATGTAATGGACACCAGTAAAGTAATATACATGTTATTGATACTCGGGTTTGGATAAAGACCGGTTCCTGATAAAATCAATCAGGAATAATATAGTCAGTACACACAGTGTTCAGTTCGAGTTATAAAATGGAAAAACGCAATTGGAATTTAGGAAAAACGAAGACTTTTTGCATGCGCGGATCTAGAGGGGGGGGGGGGTCCAGACCACCCACTCCCCCTGGAATTTGCACCCCATCGCATCTCACGCATTAGTTTTTTCACCTTTAGGAGAGTTTACGTTTTTTTTTTTCATTTAAAAAATACTTTTTGTAATCTTTTTTTCTTGCTAGTCAGCAAATTTCTGGGTTGGAGCTTTTTCTACTGGGGGTCAAACCCCACCCCCTCTCTTTGAAAAAAAAATTCCCGGATCCGCGCCTGTTTCGGTTTTGGGGGGAATATTACGAGGGAATGCCTATAGGGAAAGAAATGATATAATAACACTTATAGTGTGTGCTCAATCAAATTGTTTATTTTTAATCGAATTAATGATTAAACTCAATGGAATAAACAATGATGCTTGAAATTTTTTTCATTCAAAAGATTTTTTTGTTTCCAGTAATATTCGAAAACGATGATTCAGTAGTATACTTCAAGAATGTGACTGCCTTACGTACTTATATCCTCTCTATGCAGGCTTAGAGCAATTTTGGGAAAAATAAGACTACTACATAAACCTCAATTGAATTTTCCCCTCTACCTAAATTGCTTTTAATGAATATTTTATGACTATCTTAAAATATTTCTGATTTGTTGAAAAAAATTAAAATACTCACAATGGGTAGATTTAGCTGCAGATCTGTAGCGTTATGGTTTTATATATTTTTCTTTGACCATAACGCTACAGATCCCGTAATGCAAAAAAGGTGCAATTTACGGCGCAATATTTTTTGCGCTCCTTTGAGGAGAATTTCTCCACTGTTTAACATTGGTCAAATAACCACCTTTCACTCCCTAAGCCTAGAGACACTCTGTAGCCAATAAGTATATTTTATCCACCTCCCAGCCATTTATAGTCGTCTCTACAGGCAATAAACTCGTTTGAAGTGAATTCTCAGCAATCTAACAAATAATTTTAATCCAGCGAGTTTATCACTTGTAGAGACGGCTATAAAGGGTTGGGAGATGGATAAAATATACAGATTAGTTTAATAATGCGCCTAGAGATAGGAAGTGAAAGGTAGTTAATTGACCGATGCTGGAAAGTGGAGAAATTCTCCTCAAAAGAGCGCAAAAAATATTGCGCCGTAAATTGCACCTTTTTTGCATTACGGGATCTGTAGCGTTATGGTCAAAGACAAAATATATAAAACCATAACGCTACAGATCTGCAGCTAGGGTAGATTATTCTATACTATTTGGATTTCAATCTTGATGCCAGAGAAAGAGGGATAACTCCAAAACATTACTTTTATAATGTCAAAGGGGGGGGATAAATGAAAGACTCAAAGTGGAAGGGATAGCCTATAGACAGGGCGTCGGGATGAGGAGTTACAGCCAAACTGGCTTATAAGCTAAATCACAGGAAGCTCGGGCTCATTCTAAAAATATGTATTTTAATACTAATTGTAAAACAGTTCATTTTTGCTAGTAAATATAAAAATGTTCCAAAAATAAATGCTAAAGTGGATCACAGATAGAATTTCTATTGAAATTTTGTTGTTGTTGAAGAGTTGATTATAAGGAATACGAAAAGGCATTAGCAAAATATTTGTGATACATTATAAGCAATAGAGTTACATAATGCGTCCTATAACTTATTTGATAGATCTTTTATCTTTTTGTATTATTTGTAATAGAAAAATTGTTTTCTTTTGCTGATGACCCCCATTTTTTTTAGTTTGTCTTTTTTCTTAAAAACAACTTTCACATTCTATCAAAGTACATTGTGTGTAGATTGGATGTACATATAATTTTGTACCAAAAGGTGAAAAAATACCATACATGTACAGATGAAAGTGTTTTAACACTAAAAAATATATATATTCCCCCCAAAAAATGTATTGTAAAAAAGAAGTCTTCCAAGTACTATCTGTTATAGGCAGTTTGAATTTCTCAAATCGAAAATTTAAATAAAAGGTGTGTTCTGGTGAAAAAATGACTAAATTTTCTAGTATTTATGTAAATTTTGATCAGACTAAAAAATCGTGCATCATCTTCAATCCAATATTTTAATCAAATCAAGAAATTAATTTAGATATTGTAGGTATGTCCAGAAATCTCTTGCACAACATCGTGTTGCCCCGAAGTTTCCACATCTTCCACCGTAGGTAAATCCCAAAGGACATCCGTAAGCCACGTCCATTCGGAGCTGAAAGGACTGAAAACACCGACAAAGGAAAGCATTATTCCACCCAAAGCCCAAGTTCCGCTGGAATTGTCCTAAAGATTAATTAAACAGACAAAATAAAAATGAAATTATAGTGACAATAGATTTTTAAGATATAACCATATAAATGCAAAAGAGCGATAATAATGTTTATACTCTAGAAAATAAAAAAAGACAGTATGTCAATTATATGTTGTAATCCCCAACTGCTGTTAGCATCATTATCTTCTGTTGTTAGTTTCTTTTCTTTTTATATCTACATGTTCCTGCTATCAATTTTTGAATTTCTTCTTTTACATGTATGTATTTCTGAATTTTCTCTGTACTTGTATGCCCTGATGGGCCCCAAATTGGTATTAATAAATCTTATCTTATCTTAGAAGTAACAATTACTTTTATTCAATTTTTCGTTTTTCTATTTATTTTAAATACTCAATGAATAGAGGAGGGAAAAACTAACCTTGAGAAAAAATTACAGATGTAGCAATAAGAAAGACACAGAGTAAACAGAAGTTGTAAGTCTTCATCTTGTTT